CCCCCCCTTATCAATAGGGATTCCCCCTTATCAGTAACAATCCCTTTTACCGATATCGATCCCCCTTACCAATATCAATCCCTTTTACCGGTATCGATCCCCCTTGCCAATATCGATCCCCCTTACTGATATCAATCCCTTTTATCAATATCAATCCCCCCTTATTGATAACTATCCCTCCTCACCAATATCGATTCCCCCCTTGCCGATATCGATCCTCCTTACCGATAACGATGCCGTCCCGGGAGCCGGACATGAACATGGAGGCAGTTTTGGAGGGCAGTGATATCGATCCCCCTTACCAATATCAATCCCTTTTACCGGTATCGATCCCCCTTGCCAATATCGATCCTCCTTACCGATAACGATGCCGTCCCGGGAGCCGGACATGAACATGGAGGCAGTTTTGGAGGGCAGGAGGAAGTGCCTGATGGCCAGGAACGGGGACAGGCGGCCTCTCCTCTGCGGCGAGGGCACGGCCAGGTGGTTGGGGCTGCAGCTGCGGCTGTCCGGGGAGGAGCCGAGCAGGGATTCGGGAGCGGGGGAAGGCGAGCGCTGCCGGGAGCGCGGCACGGCCTTGGCCAGCTCCGGCTTCTTGATGAGCACCCACTCGTACCTCTCTGCCTCGGGGCGCACCTGGGCAGCGGGACACGCCTGTGAGCCCCGGGGCACCGCGCCAGCCCGGGGGAAGGCGCTGCTGCTGCTCCGGGTCTGCAGCTGGGGCAGGCGAGGGACGGGCTGTCCTGGCAGAGCAGCAACGAAGGGACAGAGCCAGACACAAAGCGTGACTTACCGTGAACACAAAGCACTCCCCTGTCCCAAAAAAGCCCGATGTGGCTCCGCTCTTCTTCCTTTCGGCCCAGTCGGAGGAGAGAAACGCCCCACACACCTGGGGAGAGAGCACAGGGGGCTCAGGGGATGGATCAGCCTCAGCCGTGGCCTCTCTCCCCCTCACCCAGTGGGGTCACCCAGCCTGTGCCCTTCCCCAGCCCTGCCTGGGAAGCGCTCACCTCCCCCTCGGTGGTTTTGATCAGCAGCACCGTGGGTTCGTAGCCCTCACAGCACGTGTAGAACCTGCAGAGATGGACAGGGCGGGCTCGGGGGGAGCTGGAGCCCTGGGCAGGCTGTGCTGGCTGGCCCTGGCTGCTCACAGCATGCCTGGCACAGTGTGGCACACGGGGACATCCCTGCCTGGCACACCCACAGGGCTCCCTGTGCCCAGCTGTTGGTGGCCATCTGGGCCAGCCTCTGCCCCCTGCCCTGAGCCGCGCTCAGGAGCCCGAACCGAGCCCAGGAGGGTCCCCAGCAGCCCCAGAGGTGGCCCAGGTCACTCGTGCTGCTCCTCTCTCCAGCACCAAGCCCTGCCCAGGTCTCCCCCCGGGGCAGGTGAGGCTTCACCTCTGCAGGCTGCAGCCGTCCTCGGAGGTGGAGAAGAGCAGCAGCGGGGGGAAGAGCGAGAAGCGCTCGGGGATCCAGGACCAGACGAGGCGCATCTCCTGCGCCGTGACAGTGCTGGAGCTGAACTTCTGCATGTCCACGGCCAGGTGGAAGGACGGCCTGCGGGGGGAGGGACATCAGGCCGGGCTGGGTTCCTCTGCTTTTTGGGGCACGGCCCCTGCAGCAGGTTCTGCCCTGCCCTGTGCACCGTGAGCTCTCTGCCAACACCCCCAGCTCTGCTGTGCCGTGTCCCCTGACAGGGTCACTGACTATGGCTGTGCCGTGTCCCCTGACAGGGTCACTGACTCTGGCTGTCCATGTCCCCTGACAGGGTCACCAGCTCTGCTGTGCCATGTCCCCTGGCAGGGCTCCCCAGGGGCTGCGAGGGCCCAGCACAGCCACAGCTGGGAGGTTCCTGCAGCTCTCCCAGGGGTTCCCCACAGGAACTCCCATTTTGCCAGCTCAGCCCCAGAGCTGGGGGGCACAGAGCTCTCTCACCTTCTCTGCACCACGGTGATGCCCCTCTCCACCAAGGCCTTCCTGTTGGCCATGTGGAGCAGCCAGATCTCCTTGCGGGAGAAGAGCCGGATGCCAAAGGCTCTCTCCAGGAGCTTGTCCACAGTCGCGTGCTCGGCGATGTTCCTCACGAAAGCCTGCAGCTCCGCCTTGATGTCGGAGCCCTGCGGCCCGGCCGGGGCGGCCGAGAGCCGGAACTGCTTCAGCAGGGCCAGGGCGATGCGGTACAGCACCTTCTGGCCCTCCAGCAGGAACACGTCCAGCACGCGCACGGCGTAGGCGAAGGGCAGCCCGGGGAAGAGCCACGACAGCCACTCCGAGTAGACCTCGAGCACGTTGTCGGCGGCGCCGGCTATGAGCTTGTGAGCCGCCGGGCAGTGCTTGCTGGCCAGGTCCCCGAAGGTCATGCAGGAGGCCTGGTGGGCCAGGAAGGACTGGTCGATGTAGGCGGCGTGGGGAGCGTTGCTGGCGATGAGGCGCGAGAGGCTCTCGAAGCACTGGGCCTCGTCCTCGCTGTAGTGCAGCAGCAGCGCCGCCAGCGCCGGCAGCAGCGGGCTGTGCGTGATGTCGGGGAACAGGGCGCCCACGCAGATGAGGATCTTCTTCAGGGCCGTGACCCCGTGCGGGCTGAGGCAGTAGGTGGGCACGGGGCAGCCCTCCAGGAACTCGGGCAGGGGGTGCGAGCTCACGCTGGGCTTCCCGAAGAGCCGGCCGGCCACGTCCCGGTACACGAGCGCGTCGGGGGTGACGAGGCGGCAGGAGACCCGCTGGATGAGCCGGGGGTAGAGCCGGGCCCGGCCCGCGTGGCTCCCGGCCCAGCAGCCTTCCCTCGCCAGCCGCTTCAGCTCCTTCGGGGGCCTGCCCAGGACGTCCCGCGGGATCTGCGCCGGCCCCTGCGGCTCCGGCATCTTGTCCCAGTCCACGAAGTGCCCGCAGCCCCGGCACGAGGAGGTGTCGATGTCCCAGGTGTCAGCCTCGGACGTGACCACGATGGTGACCGGGGATGAGCCGAGCGCCTCTGCGGGACAAAGAGCTTTTACTGATCGCCTCTCACCGCCCCACCGGCAGCGTTCCGCCCTGGCTCGGGGTGCTCTGAAGTCTCACAGCCGCGTCCTGCGTTTCTTTGTTCTCCCCCGCAAAGAGAAGCGTTTCAGGCTTTGCCCTCTCCCGCTCCCATCAGCTCCGGGCCCCGGAGAAGTGCGGGGCCGGGTCCCAGCTGGCTGTCAGGGCTTCTTCTCACACCGTGAGGGGCTTTTCAGCCCTCCCAAAGCTCCCAGCCCCGAGGCAGGGCTCGGGCACCGCCGGCCCGGCGCTGGGAAGAGCAGGGTCTGAGCTCCGCCTAGAGAGACGGGAGCGGCATTTCCCCGGCGCTGCGGAGAGCTCGAGCGAGCCCTGTCGGGGCTGGGAGCTGTCCCCGCGCGGGTGAGCTCTGCTGGGCACTCATCATCGGCCGGGGATACCGCCAATTAGCACTCATTAGCTCTCGGATGTTTGTATCGTGCCCGTGCTCAGCTGCTGGGGCCCAGGGATGGATTCGCGCTGAGCCAAGGGGACACGGGGGACAGCCCGTGGTGGCCCTTCGGGGGGTCCTGACGCCCGGGCCGGCTCCGGCTCTCGCTCTCCGGCTCAGTTTGGCGCCTGCCCAAGGCCAGCAGGAGGAGCGGCTCGGGCTCAGCCTGGTTCAGGGCAGGAGCTGCTGCATCCGGAGCCGCTCGGGCCGACTCCTGTCCCGGCCACAGCCTGACCCCAGCACGGTCACGGGGGCTCCTGGCCACAGAAACCAGGCTGAGACAACACCGGGGGTCGATCAGGGGCTGTTTGCTCTCCGAATTCACCTCGTCCTCTCTCGGGGCGCTGCCCTGCCCGGGTACCGAGGAGCAGCAGCCCGAGCCCACCCGCCCGCGGTGCCCCGGCCCCGGGTGCTGAGCGGAGGCTCCGGCTCTGCCCGCCCCGGGACGGCCCCGGGGGGCTCGGGGCAGGAACGCGGCTGTGCCGCAGCCCCTGCGCTCCCCGGCCGTGGCCCGGCTCGGCGGGTCCCGCTCGTGGCACTCACCTGGCCCGGTGCCCGTGTCCTCGCCCGCGGCCGGCTCGGCCATGGGCAAGGCGGCGGCCGCGGCCCCGGGGCAGCGGGGCAGGCTGAGCCCCACCTGCAGCATGTGCCAGCTCGGCCACCCCGCGGGTCCCCTCTGGCCCGCACCTGCCCGCGCTTTTAAGGTGCGGGCCAGCCCGCGGCCCCGGCCTTTGTTTGGGGTAAACACAGCGAGGGTGGAGCAGCTCCGCGCCCGCATCGCCCCTTCCTGCCCCGATTCCGCGCCGGGCCCGGCTGGGGGCTGTAAACACCCCGTGGGCCGCGATAGCATCAAACAGCAACACGGGCAGTAAATGAACCCTTTATTCCCGAGGATAACCTTCGTGCTGCCGCTCGGGCTGCGGCTCCAGCGGTCCCGGTGCGCCCCCGGGAAATGGCCGGTACCGATCGGTCCCAGCCTCAGAACGCGCTGCAGAGCTGCGGGACGAGCGCTGTGCTCACGGACACAAGGGCTGCGCTGGAGGAAAAGCGGCCTCCAGCAGCCGGGAGAGGCTCCCAGGACAGCGCCCCGCTCCCGCAGCGCTGCCGCAGAACTCTAGGCTCGGGCTGCGCTTAGCGGGCACTTTTATAGGCATCCTAACCTTGTAAAGGATGTTTATTTGCCTTTAAAATCGGATTGTTTCTGGTGTGATAAGAGCAGCTGCAGGCTGTTCCTGGCCTGCCTCCCCGCCTGTGAAATAGGAAATATGAAATATGTAGAGGCCGTGGGGCTCGGGCTGAGCAGCGCAGCCCAAGGCCATGAATGTTTGATGGGGGGCAGGTTGCTCCTGACCAGGTCCGGCTGCACCTGCAGCACCTCCCTGAGCATCCTCCGGCCCCGCAGCACCTCCCGAGCACGGCTCCCTGCTTGAGGAGCCTCTCCTTTCCCTCACCTTCGCCGTGCGGTGCCGAGTCCCTCGGGAGCAGCTCGGCTGTCCTGTCACCCCTCCCTTTGCCCCTGAAGAGCGGGGAGCCCCAGGAGTGGGGGCGAGGGTCAGCAAAGGCGCCCGGGCTGTGCCGGGGGCCAGAGGGGCGAGGGGTCTCCCAGTGGGAGTTATCCTTATCCTGATCTCCTTCTCTGGATCCCCCCCGGAGCCTGGCCGGGGCCTGACGGGCTGTTCTGCTCCACAGGCTGCTCCCACAGGGGCAGTGCCGGCCCCAGCCCCGCTCCTGGTCCCAGGGGTCCCCTCACCGCACCCCGCGCTGCTCCCCGGTGCCAAGGGGCCGCTTGTTCTCTCTGCAGCCCCGACCCTGCCCAGCTCCGGCTCCCGCTGCCTTCCCCGGACCCTGCCGGCCGCCTTATCCTCATTTGCCTTCCCCAGGACAGCGGTCGCCTCTTCTGCCAGCCCCCCGCAGCTCCGACACCTCCGGCAGCCGCTCCGGAGATGGAGATGGAAGTGAATTAGGGACAGGGCGATAGGAAATGTCGCTTCATGCGTTTTTAATGGCGAAATATGAAATATGTAGAGGCCGTGGGGCTCGGGCTGAGCAGCGCAGCCCAAGGCCATGAATGTTTGATGGCCACGGTTGCGAGAGCATCTCCGGCTGTGCGGAGAGCCGGGCCAGGGGACAGAGCCCACCCCGGGGGCTGCCGGGGCCAGCGGGGGGCTCAGAGCCCCCCAGGGCACCGCTGGCCCTGCGCGCTCCTGGGCAGGTCGGGACGTGTCCCCAGCCCTGCCCGGCCAGCGGGACAGCGGACAGGAACTGAGGGCGCCTGGGGGGCTCATTCCCGGGGACATCGCCGGGAGGAGAGCGGGGATCAGCCCCGGGAACGGGGAGAAGAGCGGGATCAGCCCAGGGAACCGGACCGTGCTGAGGAGATGCGCTCGTTTCGTTATCAATATCCTTATCAGCATTGTTGCCATTCTGCCCCGGGCACGGAGGGGGTTCAGCCGAGTTTGGGGCTGGGGTTTTGGATGGGGAGTCTCAGAAACCCCAAATGAGTGGGATTTTCTCGTTACCAATATCCTTATCAGCACTGTTGTGATTGTCCCTATCGCTGCCGTCATCGCTGTTGTTATCAGCACGGCCCCGCAGCCCCGTGACGAGGGCGACAAAGCCTCGTTGGCAGCGCCCCGAAGCTGCTCCTCAGGTTTGTGCCCCATTTGCGTCACCGATCGCATCCAAAAACAAAGGGAGAGGCCAAATCCCGGCGGATCAGGGGTGGGAAGGGCTTGGAGCTGCTGCGGGAGCGAGGGGCCGCGCCCACCGCAGCCAAAACAGCGCCAGTGCCAGCAGCGCCAGTGTCACCGGGGGACGGGGCAGGGAGGGCAGCGATGTCACTGCGGATGGGAGGGACAGGACTGGGGGTCTGGAGAAGGGAACCGGTGCCACCGCTCCGTGTTGGGTTTATGTGGCAGCAGGGAGGGGTGGGGACAGCTCTGGTTCTGTGCTGGGCACATCTGCACACATCTGCACCTTGTACCGCGCACCTCTACACCCCGAACATCTCTGCACCTCTGCTCCTTGTACTGAAAAGCTCCACACCCCGAACACCTGCACCTCTACACCCCGAACATCTCTGCACCTCTGCCCCTTGTACTGCAAAGCTCTGTGCCCACCCTCTGTGCACTGAACCTCTGCCACCGTAAACCCCGAACATCTGCATCTGTCCCTGGGCCCCGCACATCTGTCCCTCTGCCCCGAACACCTGATCCTGCCCCTGTGCCCCCCGAACACCCGGCTGTCCCCTGTGCCCCAAGAACAGCCGGCTCTCCCCTGTGCCCCGCAAACAGCCGGCTGTCCCCTGTGCCCCCCGAACACCCGGCTGTCCCCTGTGCCCCGCAAACAGCCGGCTGTCCCCTGTGCCCCAAGAACAGCCGGCTGTCCCTGTGCCCCAAGAACAGCCGGCTCTCCCCTGTGCCCCTGCACGGCCCAGCACAGCCGCTGCGCCATCGGCCCCGCTCCCCGCACTGCCGCACGCTGGGGCCGGCCGCGCTCCGCCGGGCCCGTACCCCGGTACCTCTCTCCATCTCTCCCCTCTCTCCATCTCCCTCTGTCCCTCTCTCCCAGTTCCTCTCTCCCCGCTCCTTCTCCCGTTTCCCTTTCCCCTCCGTCCCTCCCGGCGCCTGCGCGCGGCGCGTCCGGGCGGATCCGGCGGAAGCGCCGGGCAGGTTCCGGGGCCGCGATGGCTCCGGACCCCTGGTGAGCGCCGGGCCGGGGCTGGGGCCGGGGCTGGGGCCGGGAGCGGGCCGGGAGCGGGCCTGCCGGGGCTGCGGAGCGTGCGGAGCCTCCGGGGCCCGGCACGGGCGGGAGCGGGGCCGGGCTGTGCGGGGTGTGCGGGGTGTGCCTTCCCAAAGCCATCCCGGTGTGCGTGTGTTTGGGGTGCTTTCCCATCCCGGTGTGCGTGTGTTTGGGGTGCTTTCCCATCCCGGTGTGCGTGTGTTTGGGGTGCTGTGCCTCCCCTTCCCGGGTCCTTTCCCATCCGGGTGTCCGTGTGTTTGGGATGCTGTGCCTTCCCTTCCCGGGTCCTTTCCCAAAGCCCATCCCAGGCTTTGGGGCTGTTGTGTCTTCCCCTCCCGAGGCTTGTACCGGCGGGTCCCAGCCCATCCCAGCTAATCCACCAGATCCCAGCCCACCCCGGCCGATCCCATCAGATCCCAGCCGATCCCATCCCCATCTCCATCCCATCCCCATCCCCATCCCGTCCCGTCCCATCCCATCCCCATCCCATCCCATCCCATCCCATCCCATCCCATCCCATCCCATCCCATCCCATCCCATCCTATCCCATCCCATCCCATCCCATCCCATCCCATTATCCCATCCCATCCCATCCCGGGCTCAGCCGCTGCTGTCCCCGCAGGCTGTCGCTGCTCGCCGCCGCTCGCCAGCTCGCCCAGGACATCGCCGAGAAGCTGCAGGAGCGGAACCGCTGCCAGCGGAGCGGGGAGAGCTCGGCCAAGGTGCCCTGGGCTGGGTGCGGTGTGCCGGCTGCGACGGCCCGGGAGGGCGGGATTCCCGGGATATGGGGCGGAATTCCCGGGATGCGGGGCGGAAATCCGGGGATACGGGGTGGAATTCCCGGGATGCGAGGTGGAATTCCCGGGATGCGGGACGGAATTCCCAGGGTGCGGTGCGGAATTCCCGGGATGCGGGGTGGAGGAAGATGCGGATCGGGGCCGGGCTGTGTCGCTGCCGGCACCGCAGGGGAAGGTTGTGTTCCAGCGCCGGTGTCTGTCCCTTAAGGGATCTGTAAGGGGAACGGGAAGGGAGTTTGGGAATGAAGAGCGGCTCCCCGGTGTCACCGCGGTTTGGGGTGAGCAGCGGTGAACCTGTGCGTGCGGCAGCGCTGCTTCTGGGAGGAGCTGCGGCCGTGCTGGGCACGCCCTGCTGCCTGCTCGGGCTGTCCCTGCGGGATGGAGCCGCTCCAGAGAGTCGGGGATGCTGGGATGGAGCTGGTCCAGAGGCTCAGGGATGCTGGGATGGGGCTGTCCCAGAGAGTCAGGGATGCTGGGATGGAGCTGGTCCAGAGGCTCAGGGATGCTGGGATGGGGCTGTCCCAGAGGCTCAAGGATGCTGGGATGGGGCTGTCCCAGAGGCTCAGGGATGCTGGGATGGAGCTGGTCCAGAGAGTCAGGGATGCTGGGATGGGGCTGTCCCAGAGGCTGGGATTCTCAGGGATGCTGGGATGCTCAGCAGCTGCTCTGTGCTCTCTCTGTGAACAGAGAGCAGATGTTCCTCCCCCAGGGCTGGCTTCTGCCTTTTGCAGTGGCTGCAGATCAGAGGGAATAGGAATCTTGCAGCCTTGTTTTAGCTGCATTTCTAACAAAATACAAGCCCAGAGTTAAACAGGAATGAGAAGCAGCAGTTGGAGCTCACCCAGGAATGTTGTGTTCTCCACATTTTCCCACTTCCTGTTAAAGAAGTAAAATAAAGGTTTTCAGGAGGCTGCTTTCCCTGGGGCTCCAAGCCTCATCCTTTCCTTCAGGAGCAGCTTTGAGTCATTACCTGCTCCCTTGGCTGTTTTCAGATGAAAATTGCTGTAAGCCCTTGAGTTGGTCATTTATAATAATTTCATAATTAAAGCTGCAGTGGTTTTTCTCCCCCTCTCTGTGTCAGGGCTGTAATGCAGTGCCTGATCACTGGGTCTGCTGGGCCACTCACTTTGC